TATATATATATAAACTTTATAACGATTTTCTAGAAACCAAGTATAAATACCCTTCTTGTATTCTTCACTTTGCTCCTTATCTAGTGCTTGTTTCTAAGGTAATTATCAATGCTACTTTTTAATTGGCACCGGTTTTGCAAGGCAACCAATGTTAATTTAGGTCTGTACTTTGGATAGATCTTAAAATGCTATTGTACCCTATTCACTTTCCGTCTAGGCCCTGTTGTAGCAATGCTCAGAGTACTCACATCATACCTGCCATGTCAAATTTCCCAAATGTCTGATGTGGTTTAGGTGTTTTCTTTCAAATAAATCAGTTTTCTTCCTCTCCTTTAAATCATTTGCTTTCTTGCTGGAAAACAACTTTGGTAAATCACTGTGTGTTTCTGGTGCAGTTTCGGTTCATTCCTTTTCTTCAGAACCTGTTTTAAAGTAGGACCTAAACCTGCAAAAGAGTATTCATCAGTGTGATTAAACGTTTGTGGGAGTCTAAGAGCAAGTGTATTTGACATTTGGTAGATAATGTTCCCTCGGGATGGGCCTTCGTACAGATACGCGGACTATAGGTACTGTACAGGTGCTCTGAAGACCTGTGGATCAAGCCTAAGTGGAAGCTCTTGACTCTTTCAGGTATTCTGAATGACTCAATTTATATCCACTTGTCATTCACAAAAAGAAACCCTCACGAGGCTGTGCAACATGTTGACCATATGAAGACAAAAAATTTGACAGAAAATAACAGAGTAGCAGCTTTGAAAATGGAAGTACTTAATGATCAGCTGAAGCAAAATCCATGGCCTTTGGAGAAGAGCATATTTGAGAGTCTACCTCCTAGACTTCGTAAAGGTCTGTGCTTCAGCCTGTTTCCTGTAACTTTGAATGGCAAACCTTGATTTATTTTTTCCCCTGCTTACTCTTATAATTTTGCATAAGATACTTTTTATTTAATCTTTTAACTGCCTGTGATATTAGAGACTAGCTCAACCCAAAAAAGCTCTTTAAGTACTTATTAAATTTTATTAAATGTGAACATGTACGTCTTGATTTAACTACAGAAATAAGATTGAATCAGGAGGAAGGAGCTATTTCCAACACTGCAGGGTCATGAATTTGAATTCTCATTTAGTTTTGGATAAACTTTGTATGTGCGCAGTATTTTTGTAAGCATATATTTCACACCAAAGTTGAACCTCAAATGCAAACACTGTTTATCCCCATCTTGTTTTTAAAACAGACCTCTGTAGGTTTCTAATTCTCTGGCTTTCCTGTCTTTTTAATAAGCTATTAACAGACCAAAACCACTTCTGATATTTCTTTAATCTATAACTTTTACCTAGGTGTTTTTGTGTATGCTGATGGGTATTTTCAAGATCTGAAACTTGTGTTCCCAGTGACCTAGGAGAACAAAACTGGAAGCGTGATATTTCTTACAACTATATGTAACAAGTGGAATATGCAGAACTCTAGAATTTAAACAAACGCCATAGACTTTTTAGAGTCTCACAGGAATGTTACCTAAAATACTTAAGTATTTTTGGAGAGGTGAACTTTACATCCTCTTATTATAAATTAATTTTTAGACTTACTGCTTAGAAGTTCTGGGTAATGCCTTTTGTCCCTGTGGTATGAGTCTGTTTACCATATTTTAAAATAGTGTAGAGAAGGCTTATGGTAAGAGTGCCTTGAGATGAATTCTTTCGTTTTCTATCTTTATTCAGTAACACTTGATAATATTATCTGAAGATTGCCAAACTTTGAGCAAATTATTTAAACTGGTTTTTTAAATTATTTAAACTGTTTTCAAATAGTCTAACATCTTTTTAAAAAATAATTATTCTTAAGCGCTGCAGGAAGCTTGCAAAGAACAGAATGGATTCTACGCTCAGTTCTCTAAACTCTTCCCAATGCGGGTGATATCCTATCTGATGCTACCATATACGCTACCAGTGGAGTCTGCTTACTCTGTTGCTTTACGGTAAGGAACTTTTAATGAACCATTTTAGTATTATTACACTTTTGGAAATGTACTCATTGAGAGCTTATTCAGTGTTGTAGGCATTCTGGTACTCTAGAATTGTCAAAGACCATTATTTTTACCTACATACTGCATCCTCCTAAAGCCTCTATAGTCTAAGGCTAGATAAATAAACATCAAGATTGCTAAACAATTTACTCTTATTACTAGTAGCTGTCTCGTAATTGCTTGAAAGAAGCAGGCTTAGTTGTGTTTTCCAGGAGCACATTCTTTATTACTATATTCTGTAGTCATATTTGAACTCTATGCGGATAGTTCTTGTGCTTAAGCTTCTTTCTGAAGACAGGAGTGAAATCCAGCACTTACCATATAAATTTTCTACCCAAGTTTCTTTAGGTTGACTGAAAGTTGTGCTCTTGAAACAGGACTTAATTTTGTAAGTTTTTCAATTCTTGTAAAGGAGAAATTATGCTAAATGAATGCACCATGAACCCTAAACTTTGTGCTTAAGAGAATTCCAGATGCCACTACTATCTTGAGAAAATACTTGAAAAATCAAATGCTCTGTAAATGAAACCACATAGAACTCTAGTGAAATATTTTGTTTCTGTGCCACTTAATGTAGCACTTCTGTGCCATTTTTTAGTGGGTGGGGAGGAAGCAAATTTCAAAAGAATTTTAATGTGGGTTTTTGCCTCTTGTCCCCCTCCGATGTAACTGATTTCTGTTAAGAGCATCATAAGGAAAAAATACATTTGTGACATTGTTCTGTTTCTGCCTTCTATTTGTTCTTCCATTGTGCTTTATTTTTATTCTTCCTTCCTCTCCCACCTAACTTTAAACTGACCAGAAAGTTCCCATCACACTGATAGAGGTCTCGGAGACGGGAATTTTTTGTAGGCTTCCTAAACATTGGTCACGAGCTGTAGAATGCACATACTGGTCAGCTGTTCAGTGTAGATCAGAGATGCAGTGGTTTGTGCTGCCCTTTTTCTTAGCTTGTAAAAAAGCGATGAGTGGACTAGATAGAGATGTAGAGAGGTTGGGAAGACCTGGAGACTTTGGTGGGGAAGTTAACTTGGGGACGGTGAAACATAGGTTATTTTGTTGGATGTTGGACGTGATACGTAAGAATATAACACGGGTTGGATCTACTGATTACAAAACAAGTGTATTTTGGTTTTGATTGTAGGTTAGTAAACTGGTTTCCTGACATGCCTGCTGATGTTCGATGGATGCAAGAACAGCTTTGTCGGATTGCTGGTACAGTTTATTCCCAGGCTAAAAGCAAGCTGTTCTGTACATCCAGGTAAAGTGGAGTCCTGCTGCGTGCAAATGATGTTTAGAAATTCTCTCTCTTTTTGTTAGAGCTTTGAGTACAAATAAGTTTCTTTCTTAAAACAGGATTTAATAATTTTCTCAAAAGTAACACAAAACAGTTCTCACTGCTTCTAATCTTTAACATTGTTTAAGTATATTTTCTGGTGCTTCTTGTTTATAACTGATCAATGACTGCTACATATTGTAGATGAAGAGGTGTTGCCTGTTGGTAGGCTTATGCTTTTTGGGGAGAGGGGTAGGTTATGGAGCTGGCATTGGACAGAGAAGAGAGAGCTTGTTTCTTCTCTGCTCCACAATAGCTGAAGCAATCAGGAAGAAAAGATGGGGAGAAGGTTGCTTGAGATGTTCTAAATCAGATGTAGCAGGTAGGAACTGGAAAACGTTGGGACAAAGACTAGATTCTTAGGAGTCTGGGCAGGAAAGGTTGTAAGAGTTAAAAAGTAGACAAATATGAAGGATAGTCTTGTAAGAAGAATTAAAATAAGATGCATATGGAAGATTTTCAGGCACGTCTGTTTCCGTGGAAGAGAAACCTCTATTCTAACCTGGTTGTAACTAAGTTCATTATGCTTCTCTTGTCAATCTGGTGTGAGATTTAGCCTTTCAGACTTTATACGTCTGTTAAACGTTGTAGCATTATGTGTATGGAAGAATT